ATGGAAGCAAATTTATTTGAGCTAGTTCGGAAGCATGAAGAGATGAAACTTCATAGAAGTGATAGTTCAGTAATTTGCACAACAAAGGTAAATAAATTTGACCGTTAATAAGATAGTTTGGTAACAAGGATATAAAATAAGCGGCAAAAGCTCCGCACAAACTACTGTTTTCCCATTGGAAACAAGTTTTGTTATAAGAAAACAAAATAGTTTGTTGACCCGTCATTGAACTATATTTTAATATAAATTTTGTAAACCAATAAAATTCATGGTTATCAGCTGTCCATTCGTAAGGAAAGTGATTAGTTTGTCGTATGTAAGAACTTATTTCAATCTCATTATAATTAATGTTTAGAGTGTTTATTTGTATGTTAGTTTGTATTTCTTCTACAGATTCAAACAAATGTCTATTGCTTCTTAAAAAAAGTGGAATTTGTTTTAAACAGCTTTCAGTACCTAAACTGTCAAAACAAAAAAAATGATTAGCGTCTAATTTGACTAAAAGTCTCCAATGTTCTCCATTTTGTTTGATAGTTTCGTTATTATAAATAAAAAAAGAACCATTTTTTACCATTCGCCTAATAATGTTTACGTGTGTTTGAGTTTGACTCAATTCGTCAAAAGCGTAAACACCTATAAAATAATCTTTCAAAAAGGGTTCATTTATAAAATAACTAGACAAAGATTCGTTAGTACACATTTATTCTTCTTTTTCTAAACTAAAAAAACTTGAAATAAATAATGTTACAATAGCGTGTAAAATATTAACAAATAATGTTTTTTTATCGGACGTGCCGTCTTTTATGATTCCTTCAATGTTTCTTTTAACAGATTTCTTTTTTAAAACTCTATCTAGTTTTTCTATGATGGTTGAAGTGTTAGGTAATACTTTTGCTGTAAAAGTATCGATGAATCCGTCTGTTTGATCACCTTCAAATGGAACAATAGGTTTAATATCTCTTTCGAGTAAAAAAACTTTAAGTTTAGATTTGTAATAATCAGCTATAACATTTTCGTCAAGATGATCTTTTTTCATATTGTCAAATTTATTCAAGTGAAATTGACATAGTTGTGGCTGGTCGATTAAATTTTTAAATTTACTGTTATTAAAGCATTTTTCAATAGAATAGGAACTTAATGTGATTCTTTTTGAATTTAAAATATTTTCAAGAAAATCATTTGAAGATGCGTCTTTATAATGTTCCTCGTCTATAACTAGAGATGAAGGTGAAGAGTTTCCGGATTTGTTTTCTTGAGATTGATATCTTTTGGCTATTTCATCTAATGCGCAAACAGCGCAATTGTTATGAATTTTTCTAATGATGCTGTCAACTCGATTCATTTTTTTATTTTTTTAAATAATATTTATTTTTTTTTGTTTTTTATACATGTTTAAAAATTTTAAAAAAAGAATGCGTTTCATTTTTATTAAAAAATGTTGTTATTTTTTTTTAGTTTTGGCTGTTGGATATTGAACACATTGCTAATGAGTATAAAAATAATCATGTTTGGGGTAGTAATTGTGTACGAGAGTTATGCTTACGTGAAATAAACGGCGATTTTTATTATCATGTTCAAGTGTGGCCGTGTGCTAATTTTGAATCAATTAATCAAAAATATCAAAATACTTTCAAATATTGTTTAAAATTTATACATGGTTTGGAATATTATCCCTCCATGGAAGCAAACTCTGATATTATATTTTGCTCAGATGTGATCAATGTTTTAGAAAATTATTTAAAAAAATATCCTTTAAATGTAGTATTTTATAAAGGAGGCGAAATGGAAATCAAGATCTTAAAAAATTTTCAAAATGTTAAATATTTTGATTTAAACAAACTGAAATTTCCTAAAGTAGAATTAATGGATTATTTCTACGACGAAATTCCATGCAACAGTCATTTTAAAAACGAATTGATTACAAAATATCATTTGGATCATTGTGCCAAATACGAAACTAAAATGTTAAAAAATTATATAATTGATTTTATATACTATATTAAAGGTTGTAGCAAAAAAAGAGAAGAATATCATGATTTGGTAAATTTAATACGAGAAAATAATCTATGTGAAGAACTGAACAAAACTAAATGTATTTGTTTTGATAATGTATTTTTAGTTAATAAAACGTATTATACAGTTAATATGAAAAAATAAAAAAAAAGATTTGTTTTATTTTTAAAAACATTCCTTTGCGTTTATATAATACATATTAAAATGTTCAGCTTTATGAATAGGTTTATCGTTGATAATTTCTTGTTTAATGACATCGTAGAGTCGATTTTCTCGTCTAGTTAATATTTTCGAAATGGTAAAATTTCTTTTAAAAAAATAAAACCAATTGGCATAAGGAAACATTTCCATAATTGATTTTTCATAAAAATTACATTGATTAAACGATTTGTATATGTAGACTTTATCGTTCATAGTTTTTACTTTTTCAACTTTGAAATAGTAATAAATGGGTGTCGGTGTAAAAAGAGTAAAAAATTGTACGAAAATACTAATCTTTGTAAACAAGAAAGATACTCTTCCCGCAAAATTAAACTGTTACGCTTTAATAAATCATATTCGTATGAATGATTTTCGATTAAATGAGGAAACAAAAAATAATATTGTAATGATAATTTAATTTTATTTTTCCAAGAGGTGCATTTGTTGTCAATAGTGCTACGATAATATCTCTTGTATATTTTTATAAAATGATCAGTTTTGCGTTTCAACATTAAGTATCTATGTGTAAAGTTGGTATCTTCTGTGTACACATTTTGTAATTCTTTGTTTTTTTCTGTACATCTTAAAAAATCAGTGTTGATTAATTTACAAAAATCATACATGTCTGATTTCCATTTAGATCCTTGTTCATGAAATTGAAAATAATTACGCGTAGTTTTTTCAAATAAATTTTGATGATTTTGATAATCTTTGATGATAAAAATAAAATACAAATCAATATATTCTTCTTTTGGTAATAACAGTTGTAAATTCCATTTAGTTAAATATTCGTTTATAATAATTTCCCAATCTTCATAGCTGTTTTCCAAATGATGAAATTCTTGTAACATAGGATGAAGTTCGTTGTCTGGATAAAACAACTTTATTGCTTTTTCTAAAGTTTGTTCAACCTGCTTGCTAGTCATTTTTTTTTGAAATGATATATAGAAAATTTTGATTTGTATTTATATTTTTTTACTAATCTATATGACTTCATATTAAAACCTTATAAGGAAATAAAAAACATGTTTTTTTATAATAACTGGTTTTTTTATTAAAATTAAAAATAGAAATACAGTTTTTTTAAAATTTAAAAAAAGTTTATTCGTCATCATTTTTTTCGTCTTTAATTTCGTGTTGTTTTGATTTTTTAGACTCTTTACTTTCTTGTGCAGCTAAATCTTGTGCAGCTCTTTTCATATTTTGATTAAAAGATCTTGTTTGACCGCTTTTAAGTAAAGTATTAATCATAACAGGTTCCACAGAAGATTGTCTATCGTATTCTGTGTAATAAATTTCTTCGTCTTCTTTTAACATTCGTACGTTAAAAGTGCTAATAGGTTGTGATTTTAATACTTTGTGTTTGTTGTAAGCATAATTATATCCGCTGTTTTGTATTTCTTCAATTTTACCTAACTTAGATTGTAAAAGTTTTTTATTTAATTTGGTTTGAGTTGTAATTAAAATAGCATTAAATGCAATTTCCCCATCGCCTGTTTTATTTTTGAAATGGATGTCTTCTTTGTTTAATTTCATTTCCGCTCTATACAAATAATTACATGCATTTTCTGCAAGGGAACATTGTTTTCGAATAGATGCTGGCAACAATATAACTTCTTCTTTGCTTAAGTTGGAATAAACCAATTCTTTTTTTAAAAAATTAAATTGTGCTACGGGTTTTACGGGAACTTTAGAATATTTACTTTCTTTTAAATCTTTTTCGTTTGCCAAATCAATATGCCATAATGTAGCAGCTGCCATATCACCGTATTTTAAATAATTTTGCAGATTGCAATAATTAACTTGAATTTCGTTCTCCATTTTATTGTATATATTTTTTTAACTGTTGTAAAGTTGTTGAATGATATAAAAATGAAAAATTTTTTTTGTTTATATACTCTATTTTAACAATGGAGATTAAAAAAAACAAGATCAAAACAAGTTTATATAAAAAATTGTCAACGTGTCATTTTAATTTTTTATGATATCATATTTTGACTTTATAAGGTAATACAATAAAAATATGTTAATTGTTACTAAATATAGAATTTTATTGTGTTGTGTTCTGTATAAAAGGCTCAAGTTTTTATTTCAGAATCACTTCAAACCAAGATGAGTTTAGAAAGGTTTAATAGTGTTAATAAAATGGCAAATAATGAATATATTAGTTCATATACAAAAATGATTGAATTACAAGAAGAATGTTCAGAATTAATAAAAAAGGAAAATTATCTTACTCAAGAAATAATCAAATTATTAATTGAAATTGAAAAAGAGAAAAAACTTTGTTTTAAACATATAAATAAAGATTTGTCGATTCGTTATTATAAAATATCAAAATACTTATGGAAAAATCTGGAATCAGGAAAGTCAATTTCAAAAGAAGAAGAAGCAAATTATTTACCATTAACAGAATTAGAAATTAAAAAATTAGATAAAGACGAATTAGCTTATTTTACATGTCGAAAATGTCAGAAGATAAATCCTAATTTCCACGATTATTTTTGGTGCGAAGAAAGAATGTGCTATTTATGTTTATTAAATCATTCACTACAAACAATGATAAAATTTGACACAAACATTTGTAAATTTAATTGTTAATTTGTAATATAATTATTTTTGTATTTGTTTTTAGATTATTAAAAAGGCCGTTGCTACTTGAAGCGCAATGCGCTCTAACCAACCATAAGCTGCTCGGAGCGCATTACTTTGTACGCATGAGCTAAATCTTGTACAATTTTGATGTGATTTGCTTTTATTTTGCGATAATTTTCTCGTTCAAAATAATGTCGCTAAAAGTTCATGATACTTTCTTATCCTGGGATGAATATTTTCAAGCAGTTGAAATACACTGTAATAAAACATTCCAACCCATGGTTAAACATGGTTGCAAGCTAACGGTAACAGCTAATGCTAAGATCAAGGTCGACCAAAGACCTTATCCTGAAATGTTTAAATACGTGTACTATAATTTAATTTGCACACATGGTGGATTCAATTCAAGCAAAGGAATAGGGAAAAGAAATTCAGGGTATATTTTACTTACATAAATGCTTGCAATCTTAACTATAACATACCTATATTGTAATTATATTTTATCAATGAACAAATACTTTACAATGTTCTTGTTAAAAACAGGGTGGCCACTGGTCATAGATTCATGGAAATGTCATTGATTTTTATTTGGTCATGGAATTCCTAAATTTCCATTGAAATGTATGGAAAATTTATGGAACTTTTTAAAATTATCTTTATTTTTTTCTACTTGTGATATTTTTAGGATATTTGCAAAGAAATGTACTAGTATGTCTAGTCTAAGTCTTTTTTAAAAAGATAATTTTGCAATGTTAGCTATAGATTATTATTTTATTGCAAACAGGTTATGTCAACCTTTTTAAATTTTAGTATTTATTAAAATATCATTTTAAAAAATTAAAGCACACTTTTAAATTTTGTTTAAGTTTATATCAATCAATCAAATATGGTCAGGTCAGGTCACCTGCTACTAGTAACATTTAATCTAATACAACCTGTTTCATAGGATCAACTCATATTCTAGTATAGTTTCAGTTTAAGTAACATGGGAATTGGAGCAGTAATAAGTTATGAGTTAAGCAAGAAACATCTGAGAAAGGCAGAAGAAACTCGAACTATTCACTTAAATCATGTGCTGGTTTAAGTGGGTTGTTTAAAGTTAAGTTTACCGATAGTGTAATTGACCAAGTGGCAAATGTTAAGTGCATGGTAAAGTACTGAATATTTTACTTTTGTGATTTTTAAAAAATGTTTATAAAAAGTTGTGAAAAAGTAATGAAAAAAGTCATGGAAAAATCATGGAGTTTCATTTTCAAATTTGAAATGATCAAAGTGGCCATCCTGTAAAACTATGTAAAACTATAATATATTCTTTATATACTTTTATATATATATATATATGTGTGTGTGTGTGTGTGTGTGTGTGTGTGTGTGTGTGTGTGTGTGTGTGTGTGTGTGTGTGTGTGTGTGAAACATATTCAAGACTTTGTGTACACTTATAAATATGCATTATTATCTGTTTTAAAAATACAAAAAAACTGTTATATTAGTTACTTTTCATAAATATTTAACTTTTCTTTTAGATCAAAAACATATAAAATTAAAAAGTTCAAGAGCATTTGAGCATTTGAACAAACTTTTTTAGTTGTTGTCATTTTAGATCAGCAAAAAATAACTGTCCAGCTAAAATTTATGCTGCTTTAACAAAAGATAGAACAAAAATAATTATTAAACAAATGATAGAAACGCACAATCATGTTATTGGTAAAAATATTTATCTAATATTGGTAAAATATTTAAAATTTGAAATGAATGTTACTTTATCATTTTTTATATATTTAGTTTTGTAAATCTGTTATTAAAGTTCAGCTTTTCACGATGTACTGTTTAATTTACAAAAAACTTTAATTTAAATTTTTTTAAAATCACTTAAATAGAATGAATAAATAAAATGTTGTGCAATGAAAGACTGCTGTGAAAGAAAAGTATGCTGTGAAAAGCTTTTTTTTTAAAACCTTAAAGTTACATATTTAAATGAATTATGAAAAAGTAATTTTTAGTATCATACAACTTGATTAAATAAATTATTTTGCTTTACAGAACAAGATCTTTACAAACACTATGTCCAAAATAGAAAGCTATCAAATGAAGAGAAGGCCAAAGTTAAAGAACTGAGTCGTCTTGGTGTTACTACTAAAGTAATTGCTGATGAAATGAGAAAGAGTACAGGAAAATCCATAGTAAATAAGGACATTTGGAACATTAAGGATAAAATTCGTCAAAAAGTAAAAACTATTATTTCATTGCATAAATTGTTGTTTTCATAATTAAATAAATGTATGTTTATATATATATATATATATATATATATATATATATATTATATATATATATATATATATATATATATATATATATATATATATATATATATATATATATATATATATATATATATATATATATATATATATATATATATATATATATATATATATATATATATATATATATATATATATATATATATGTAAAATTCTTTTTCAATAAAGTAAATATCTTTCATCGTAGGAAAAAATATGCCCATCTTCAAGAAATGTTTTAAATGTTGCAGAACTGCTAGTGAAAGTAGTTGAGAAAAGAAGAGAGAGTGATCTTGGACTGGTATCACAATATGGTATGTCAGATGATAATACTCTTCAGTATTTATTTGTTCAAACTAGTGTAATGAGATCCATATTTAGTAAGTTTCCTGAGCACATTTGTATTGATACCACCTACTGTCTCAACAACAGTGATATGCCACTGGTATCATTTTTATGCATGGATGGGAATGGTTTTTCCCACGTAATTGCTTTTGCTTTAATTGCTAATGAGTCAGAAGTGATGTTTAGTCAAATTTTTAAAACCTTTAAAGCTTATAATGTTTCTTGGAATTCCATTAAAACATTTATGATAGACAAAGATATGAGTGAGTTAACAACACTGGAGCAAAATTTTCCTAATAGTTTTTGTGAAATTTGTTTGTTTCATGTTAAAAAAGCTTTCAAGAAAAAGGTTGCAGACTTATCATGTACCATTGATGTTAAAAGAAAAATTTCTGTATATCTGGATACACTTTGTCATTCAAGAGATCAGTCAATATATGAAAAACAGAAACAGTTGCTTTTGTCTCTTAATGAGTGCTTTGCAGAATACTTTTTAAATAATTGGGATCATATGCGTGATCGTTGGGTTTTTTATAAACGAGCAACACATTTAAACTTTGGCGACACCACTAATAATAGAATCGAATCTTATCATCAGAAATTGAAAAGTGTAATAACTCACCCAATAGATTTACATCAGTGTCTTGAAAAAATATTCTTTTTAAATGACATGTTTTTAGAGGAGTGCAAATTTAAGCAATTTAAAAGTTTAACGAAAAAATACTTTTCCGAGTTGTCCTACCTTCACAACATAATTACACCATATGCTATAAAACATGTATCATTGAGCTTGTAAAAAGTACTCAATATGATTTAATTTTGCCATCTAACAATACTCACAATGTGATTGTTGGTGACAACACATATATAGTGAGTGAAAAGTTGTGCAATTGTAAATTTTTTATGAATATGTGTTTGCCCTGTCGTCATCTTATTGCAGTTTCCCAATATTTGGGTAATGAAAAGTTAAGTTTAGATTGGTTTATTCCAAGATGGCATGTTGTGAATAATTATTTTGAAGGCTCACCTATTCCATATGAAAATGCCAAAGTAGAGAATTCTAATTGGAGAACTCCAGCACTAGACAAAATTCAGAAATATAAACTTATCAAGGTTTGCTCTGATAAGCTAGTAAATAAATTGGTTGAATTAGGTACAGAAACGTTCCAGTATTATCTAAAGCAGTTAGATAAATTTGAAGAGATGGTTAGTTATGGAAAAAGATTTGAAATTTTCTTTGAAGATCAACAAGTATCAGATAGTAAGACAACCTCTATCTCATCCGAAAACTTTGTAGTGGGTCCTGGTAGTTCCAGTAGTTCAGTAAACAATGAACCTATGGAATCTTCTAATAAAATTACAATTATGAATGAATATTAACATATTGATTTCTTTGTCAAAAATAATGAAAGTCCATTTATTGATGACAATGTAAAAGATGAAGTCACTGGAGTACAGGATGATCATATTGATTTTACGACTGAAAGTATGTATCAACAAGAACAGATAAATGAATCTTTAGATGTCCAAAGGTTAAAACTTATTAAACCACCACTTAAAGTTGCTAAAAGAGGCAGGCCTAGAGGTTCTGGCCAAACAGCATTAGGGTTAACTAAGAAAACAGTAAAAAGGAAATGCTGCTACTGCAAAAAGTGTCATCCTGATAAGAAGTTAGGGAAAGGATTCAAAACAAAATGGTTGAAATGCACCAAATGTGTCAGATATTTTCATGATGTGTGCTTAGGAGATAAGCATGATTTACATTTATGTTTATTTTGCATTAGTTAAATAATTAAATAAATTGATAATAACAATGCTTTTTCTTTGTGTTTTTTTATAATATTTTTCAATAAAGTTTCATTAAAGTTTAGAAGTAAAACCCTTATATATATAACCCTCATTTTCATGTGAAGAGTTTATTTTCAAGATGTGGTATAAGTAAAAAGTAAGAAATAACTAATAATAACAAGTAACTTTAAATACAAACAACTTAAAATAAAATTTATTATTGTTAATTTGCTAAAAAATAATAAATTGCAAATTGCATAAAAATTATTTTGTAAAGTAAACAATATTTAAAGTGGTACTTTAAAACAAATTTACTCTAATAATTAAGTTAGTTGAACCCATTTTTGGTTATGGTTTGTGAGGTTTTATATACTTAATAATATAAAAAATATTATTAATACACAAGTTTTTCTCTTATATAGTTAATACAGATAGTTTATAGTAATAAATAGTAAACAACCTAGATTAACTACTTTAGCTTAATAAAAACAAGAACACATATAAAATTGCATGTAGACATCTATCATGTAATCTAGAGAAAACTATAAACGAAAAAAGTTACCTTATAAGTTACCATAGTTTATTTATGCACATGAACTAGAATTTTTTCTCAATAAATTGCTCAAAAAACAATTACTTTTAAATTCATTCATTCATGATTATTTTAGATAGATGCTGGCAAGCCATAATGGATTGCTTAGAACTTATCTAAAACATTTCAATAAAATAAACGCTGCATTAAACTGATGAAATTATTGACTCCCCAAATAAATGCTGTTGTTGTATTTTGATGGAAATAGAATGTTCTAATATAAAACATTTACTTTAAAAATTGCACAAAATGTTTCTTTAGTAAATAATTTTCGATTTCGATTCAACTGCCAACTAGCTTTATTTAATCCAACCAGCTTTATTGTGAAATATAAATCGCTCTCTTATTATAAAATACTTGCCCATGCGTGTACAATATTGCGCTCTGAGCAGCTTATGGCTAGATAAAGCGAATTGCGCTCTACAAAGACACTTCGTATTAAAAAATGCCATATGTTTTGAATGATTATTGCGATTTTATTAAATCTTTGAATGGTTGTTATAATAATTGTTTTAGAATTTTAAATGCTAAAATATTTTGTAATTATTTATAGTAAATTGTAAAAAAAATTTGTATTTTTAGATTAGTAAAAATGAACAAAAGTAAAGATTTACAAGAAGCTTTGGATCATTTAACAGATTTAACATTATATAAAATAAGAACAAATAATTACAAAATGAACGATTCTTGTAGTATAATGAATGTAGATCAAGATGGTATTAAGATTGAAAGAGCTATTGAAAAAATTAAAAATGAAACAAATGTTAGAGAAGATTTGAAAAAAGAATTATACGACGCTCGTGATTATTTAGATTTATGTAAAACTATGAACGTTATGCTACAAAATAAGTTATGTCATTATGAACGAATGTTGCAAAATAATGAACAATTTATAAAATGTTATTATTGTCAAATTTATTATTTAAAAAATGATGTTTATTATTATCCTAACGATTTTTTTCATTGTTATTGTCCAACATGTAAACTATTATATGGTTGTTAATAAAATTTTAATATTTTTTTATAGATGAAAACAGTAAAAATAATAGATTCTAAAGGATGGTCTTTATATGCTACCAAAGGAAGTGCTGCTTTTGAATTACGTAGTAGTGAATAAAAAATATTATTACCGTTTCAACGCATGTTATTCTCTACTGGTGTTTTTATATCAAAAATGGATCATGATCTTCAAGGTTGGATTACATCCAAGTCAGGTTTAGCTTTAAATCATGGTGTTACAGTATTCTTTTTTTGGCCAAAAAATTTTTTTAGGCCCCTCCCCCCCCTTTGTGAAGGAGGGTAGGGTCCAAAAAGGACTCAAATGAAAATACAATCTATGTTATCTGATAAAGAAAGAAAAGGAAGTTTTGGTTCAACAGGACATTAATATTTTTTTATATAATTATTTTTTTAGTAAATTTATTGAAATGGTAGAGAAAGTTCTTAATAATATGGAGAATGGTGTCAATTTGATAAAAGATGTGGAAAATGCAACACTGACCGAGATGGACAATAATTGCAAATTTATTGTATATAATGGTAATCAGTGTCAAAGTGAACAATGTAAAATGGATGACAATAAAACTGATTTTTGTTATCAAAAACAAGATGCAAGTGATAATGAAGAAATCAATGCAAGTGTTAAAGAAAATGAAGAATGTGTACACAGTGATTCAGATGACGAAATTCTTGAATGTGTACAAAGTGATTCAGGTGACGAAATTCTTGAATGTGTACAAAGTGATTCAGATGACAAAATTCTTGACGAAATAATTGATAATCGAAAATATTATCAAATAAATATTAAAAAATCTAATTTAAAAGAAGAGTTAAGAAATTTAGATCTCAGAGTTAGTCTTCTTGAAGATTTAGTGAAAGGAAGTGATGAAGATACTGAAGAAAATGAAAATTTAAGAATTCTTTTGTTATTAAAAGATTTAGATATTAGAGTAAGTTTTCTTGAAGAACCAAATGGTTTACCTGACGGTCAAAAGATCTTTGTAATTCAAGATATAGTAAAACGAATGAATATTAATTCGAATGATTATCGTTCTACTCTTTTTTCTGCACCGTTTTTTTATAAAAATTATAAAATGTCAATAAGAATTAATTTTAATATGGATCTTGAATATCATAATGAAATGATACATGGCGACTATATTGGCATATTTGTTGTTTTAATGCCACACATTTATGACGCTGTTTTAAAATGGCCGTTTAGTAGTAAAAAAGGAACAATATCATTATTGGGAGAGAAAAAATTTAAAAAATCGTTTATAACCGATGACGGTATTTATTATCAAAGACCTATTAAAGATCGAATTTTAGGATTCGGATTTGGAAGATTTATAAACAATACTGATCTTTTAAATTATATTGTAGAAGATTCTCTTTTTATTAAATGTAAAATTCATTAATTTTTTTTATATTTCATTTTTTTTAAAAAATTTGTAATTTTTTTTAGGTAACTAATAAAAAAAATGTTGTATAACATGATAGAAAAATTAAAAGAAAAAGATAAAGAGTTGGCTCATCAATGTGAAAAGTTGGACGATTATTTAAAAGGAATATACGTATATGAATATTATATAGATGATATACAAGAATTCAAATCTACTGTTTGTAATAATTTGAATAGCGATAAACATAATTACGCATATGATAAAAGTACTATCAATCTATATTTGAAAGTATGTACAAAGTTGATTATCAAGTGTAATAAATCTATTGATCGATTACAAGAGCAAATAAAAAAAGAAAAAGAATATCAAGAGGAAAGAAATGATGCGTTTATTGAATTTATAAAAGATAAAGACGATTGGCCTTGTTGTGCTAAAAAACAAAAATTCGAAAATTATGTTCATGAATTTTGCTACTTGACAAAAACAGAACTAGTTCAAAATTTAAAAATAAAAATACGTCACGAATTATTTAGTTTAATTAATAAAATAGAGTCGATATTAATTGCTGATTCTTAATTATTTTGTAATATGATTTTATAATAAAAAATTTTTTTTAGATGTTAAAAGCAATTAGAAAAAATGTTAAAAATATGATAAAAGATGAACATATGGAAGATTTGCAACAGTTACAACTATTTGCTGTTAGCGAAAGTTTTGATTGCGATCAATACAAATGTGTTAAAAAAACTTTTGAAAAATTTGATAAAGATGTGGATATGATCAAATATGAACAAAATGAAATTGTTTTTAAACTTGAACTTTTACATTTATATACCAAGATTGTATTAGATTTGTATCATCAGTATACAATTTGTATACAATTTACAAAATGTGAAAAATTACTTGAAAAAAAGATAAATGTAATGAATAGAATAGGAAAATTTTTAAGGGAATTGTTACGTTATGATTTTGATAAATGTCGTTCATTATCTTATCTTTATTCTATTTGAAAAT